ATCCACATCGATTACATTAAGGACGTATAATTATAACCGTGGTATTAATCAAAGTTTAACAACGAACTATCACATCAGCTAATTAATGATAATGTCCCATTTGGCCCTATGTAATTTCTCAAACAATGACACCAATAATAATACCGATAATACCAGCGAAGAATCCCAACCACCGACAATATACAGGTAAGTTCGATTTATCTCTATTTTTATACAGGGTTACAGATAAAGTTGTCATCATAATCTGTTTTTATATTTTAGTTTTTATATTTGAGTTGCATCTTCGTTATACCCTTCCATTCTGGGGTACCTGCTGCGCGACAAAATTTGATCGTATTTTCAAACTTCAAAAGAGAGCAATTCCATATTTATTGGGACTGAACAGTAGAACTCACTGCCAGAATTTCTTTAAAAAATTAAAACTCTTCCTTCTTTATTCATTTTTGAATCCATTTGCTTAATCCGCAAGAACATATCTGCTATTCCCGGAAGGCCACCTCACAACTATCCACTTAGGAATGTGGAGCACAGTCTTTATCTGCCAACCCCGAGCTCAGAACTAGTTAAAGGCGCAATACTGTACAATGCCAAAAAATGTACAATCATCTGCTTTTAGATATCGAGTCGCTTTCATTCTTTCCCGCATTTCGCAAAGCTCTGAAATCATACTTACTGGAGAGAGCCAGCCCTATATGCGGTAAACGACTTTTTTGTTGATGTTTAATCTTGAACAATTTTGAATTTTAAAATTTTGATCATCTCACACACTGGTTAAAGATCTAGTAGGTATTTAATATTTTATGACTCTTAAATGATTATAACCATTTACAATTTCCCAATTGTAAAATTTTGTATGTCCATGTATGGTCTATTTGTAATTTTAATGACGTATTTGTTTTTGAATTGTTTGATGCTGGGTTAGATCTTTTATTATTTGTATATTTTTGTGCTTTTGTTTGTTTTTTTAAATGCTTTGTCGATGAAGCTATTTTGGCTCTTTGTACAATAAAGCGTTATTTATATTATTTATTATTTTTGTATCATTGTTTAATACAAAAAAAAACGCGTATTTGCCAGGCTGTCGCACTGACATAACATAATGTGTTATATGTGTTCTTTCGTATCTTCTTCAGATCCGTCAATGACATCAGCTGTAGATGCCTCTTAAAAACTTCAATATGTTACGCTGATGACTGCTCTAGTTGCAAAAACGATACAGCAATTACAAGAAATGCTGAACACATATACCTGGCCATACGAGGCTTTGGGTCTTAAGCTGAACATCGATAGAAGGTGTGTATCATGTGAACTCCCCCGGAAAATCATAAAAATGCTATAAAAATCGGAGAAGAACTATTGCAATATGTAGCTGAATTCAATTACCTGGGCAGTTTGATTTCGGAAAAGGCTAATATCGACTCTGAAATTCAGCACAGAATTAGCAGCGCCTCAAGAGCATTCTGGAAATTAAAAGACAGGGTTTTCTGCAATCATGACGTGAGCACAAAAACGAAACTTGCAGTGTATACCAAACCAAACCGAACGTAACGGTCCTTGAAAAGGCTAGCTGCGAGAGTGCCGAAGTCATGATTACTAAATCTCGCTTAAGATAGGCTGGATAAGTATGCAGTATGCAAGAAAACCACCTACCGAAATCTCTTATTTGCAGTGAGTTTGTGGACGCTCAAAGGAAACCGGGTGGTCAACTCAAAAGGTACAAGGATATTTAAAGTAATGAGATTTTTGAATATCCGGAGTCCGCAAGAGAGAAAACATCACGTATCGGGCTTTTCAGTCACAGAAAAGCTCATGAAGGAAACGCCTTGCGTAATCATCTTCTGATGCGTGTCAAATACTCGTCAGCGAGTAATGGCAATGAATGATGCCCTGTTAGTAGACCTTATTTCGCCTGTCTCTATCTTAGTGAAGTTCTTCACCATTCGAGAAATTTGTGGCAATTCCTGATGAGCTGTCGTTTTTGAAATAAACCAATAAAATTACACAAAATCAAGGAAGAACGACGCACGACGGATGCATGTAAACCCACACTTAGTCTTCTTATTCAATGCTCTTCTATTATAAATATTTGAGCTGCACATCTATCGATCATTTCGAACATTGCATTTGTATCGATTTCGAACAATAGCCTTTAAAAATAAATACAATCCAGTGGAGACATTATTATTCATAAGGTACGGGAGTTTGTGTCAGTGTTTGACAAGTCATCGTCAAGCTAAATGCTACTGTTTTGTATTCGGGTGACCTATAGATTATGTGGTAGTAGGTAATCAGTGTGTTAGTTAATATTAGATATATTAATTAGTTTATTAGATATTATTAGATATGTAGTGATTGGCATTCACTGTAATGTTCTTGGTGATATACTATGATAATTTAATAAAAGACTGCTTCATGTTGTTTTGGAAATGACTGAAGCTACCATATGATCGAAAAAAAAAACGGCATCAGCGTTGTCTATGAAATGAAGATCGCTGTCATTTTATATGTAAAATTACATGGGAAATGTTATCGATGTTCATTTCTAAGCCAACTGGGCGCCGTTTTTTTCTCAATCATACGGTACTTACTATTTGTAATAAAAAAAAAATGTATGCGCATTATGTGTGCATATTTAAAGTGAATATCTCCAACAAAAATAAAGCTAATGAGATGAACCAAAAAACAAACCATCGAGAAAGGATGTATCTAGATGATAAAATAATTTTTAAAAAAACTTTCATCAAAAATATCAACATTTTGTTTTCCCTCGTATAATTAACAGATGGGGAGTTTCATTTTTAATTTAAAAAACGATACTAAGAAGTCAAATAATTTGGCAACACACTGCTTAAAAAATCACCAATATCGTCCCATTAAAATAAAATATATTAACCTTTAAAGTACATCAAAGTTTTAAGGTGCCCATTTTTCGTGTTTTTCGTGTGTTTAGAATCCAAAAATCAATTAATATATAGGGTGTTCCATTACAAAAAAAAAACATAACTTTGATGTGTAACTTTTTTTAGGGACACCCTGTAGAACTCTACATAATTTTAGAAAATACGTTAAATTGATTTACATAAGCTCGGAAAAATTCACTCCAATACAAACTTTTGTTCTCCTTGCAAAAGCCGCGTCGCATATGACGCGCCACCCTGTATAATTCGATTTCAATCAAAATTTCAATGATTAGAATATAAGCAGAATAGGTGCATAATATGCATTAGATTTATTTATTTCAAAAAATTTACTTAGAAAAAGAATTAAAAAAATCTAAATTTAAGAAGGAAATAATTAAGAATTTACTAAAATTACTAAAATAAAAAATTAAAAGCAACGAAAAAAATGGGTAAACATTTTAGTATTTTTAATACATTCACAGTAATTGAATTCCGAGGTAAAAGTCTCTGGGCACTCCACTATATTTTATATAGTAAAAAGAAAAAGAAATTTAAAAGAGCTTTCAGGTAAATGTTCAGTCTAAAGAAAATGCCTTGAGAAATTCATAATTAAATACCCTTGAAAACTCCTCAAAACCAGCAAACTCTTGCATAATTTCTTTATTTATTCCCTTTAAACTAGGACGAGATCGATTTCCTTCGAGTTAATCTATAATCTGCTGTAACCTATTTTCCTCTGACTTATGACATTGACCAAAAACATTTTTCGAAAAGGAAGGCAAAATAAAAACATGACCGAGGTTGCGTGATACAATGTCGCTTGTTGGGAAATAACCTTAACTACAAACATAAACGCTTATTTATATGATGTTTAAAGTGGTTTAGTCGGTAAAAAATCACGTGGAAATCTACTCTGTTTGAATTATGAACTAAATCCTTTATTTCCTTAAAAACCCGATAAAACAAGGTAATATTCTTTTATACAGTCACAACTTATACAGATATTACTCATATGTATACATGCATATAAAATACATAATAATACACGCGTGAGATTAGCTGATTAGCTTTATTGATAAATTACTAATTCAATTATTTATTTAAATTAATATTAACATAAAATGAAAATTATTTTTTTTGTAGATTCAGAAATTGTAAAACGTTGTATGCAGATGTTGTCCCTCCACTGCTTGAAATAGGCTCTGTCATTACAACGGCTCGTTCTGGAACACTTCAGCACCTTGAATATTTTTTGCAATCTCTATTTTATTGTTGATGGACTCTTCGATATATCCTTCCGCACCCGTTGCAGATCGCCATCCTCCGTGTCTTTTTAACCTTGTCATGTTCACTCCTGCATTTGCCAGTAATGTAGCGGATGATCTTCTCATACAATATGACCATATGAAAAAAGCCGTAGCTGCTTTAGTAGTCGCTTTTGATATTATTAATTTTCTTTTTAAGAAGTTCTAATGTTGCATCTGAATTTATTTCTTTCATTTTTCTCAGCAACACTTCGTATCTGGAGTTCCGTTGGTGTTTATTGGAATATTCCTCACTTTTAAAATTCCACAAGCATGAATGGTCTCTATAAATTTCAATAAATTCTGTCCAAAACTGCCTATTTTCCTCCATGATGAAACACCACAATCTCACTACACGATGTATTTCTGTATTAACATAGTAGCAACAAGTCGGTGAAAAAGCCACAAACGTTCAAACTTGTCGTTGATCCAACCAAGTTGTACGACAGATTTTTAAACATGCTGAACTACCAGACAATCCAACCGCGCCTTAACGACAAGTTGGACGACAAGCTCACAGACGTTACGATTATTGTTCAAACAGTTGGATCAATCCAAATACTCCAACTTGTTGTACAACAGATTGGATCGTCTGTGGGCCGTTTAAGAAGGTAGTACTTGTCAAAATTTGTCTATAAGTTTTGATTCTCTTGAAAGTGTCGAAATGTGTGTCCAACCGGTATGGTAGGCTATAAAGATCGACAATTTTTTTTTTTAATTTCACCCAAAATGAGTTATTTGGATCATAAATATGTGTTTAGACCAAAAACATTCAAATTTCCTTGTTATTTTGCAGGTGCAGAGCGCCTATAGCTAGTTTGGACTGCATGGAAGAATTCAGCGCTGGCAGCGCCCTAAGTGCCCTAGCTGACCGTCCCGGCGATGGTACCATCACCAAAGAACAGCTGTTGCTCAGCGGATTGGCCCACTCAGCTCCGGCGGTACCGCTTCAGTTGACCAGGTCTACCAACATCACGCCGGGGTTGAGGTACAGGAACTTGGGCAAGAGTGGACTCAGGGTGTCCAACATTGGACTAGGTAGGTAGTTTGGTTCGCGCTGATATCATAGGTGTTTGTTAAAGTTTTGATAATATAATAACTCTAAAAACCTAAAGGGTCGATTGGTTATCTTCCATCTGGTTCTCGATCTACCCCTCCTCTACCACTCCACCGATTTTGTTCATTATCATACTAGGAATTCTTGCTTTAGCCATTCTTGCTTTAATTCTTCGTTTGTTCTTCTGGTCTATATGTTGCCTATCTTCTTTCCTCCACAAATCTTTCTCAATATTTTTCTTTCCCAAATCTCTAGCCTCGAACTTTCCGTTACATTGAACGTCCACGTTTCACATGCATATAGCACTATTGGTCGTATCACTGTTTGGTACATTCTGATTTTTAAACTTCTAGAGATGTTCTTACACTTATTCTTACGCCATTATTCTTGCCCCAATTTCCTGAGTTACATTTGGTTTCCTTAGAAATACGGTTCCTAGATATGTGAATGTATCTACTTCCTCAAACTGGTATCGTTTCCCTCTCTCAGAATCTATTTGTCGACATCTTCCCTTCTCAAAATCTCTATGATCAATCCATACACTTCGTTTTCTTCTCATTAAACACTAAGCCAATTTTAGCGCTTGATCTTCTAGTCTTTTGGTCACCGATATCAGTTCTTTCCGATCTCTTGCTAAGATAACTAAATCATCTGCAAAGGCTGAGCATTAGTGTCTTTTCAGCTGTGAACCTTTAGCTGAAGAACTTTTACTGAGTCCCTTTTTTTTAGATATATTTTTCAATGTAGTATTGAGCAATAAGAAGGATTGGAAGAGCGAAACGCTTGCCCAGCAGTTAAAAGACCATACCACAACTTGGTATACTGATGCTTCCAAAACCAATACGGGAACAGGGATCGGAGTGTTTGGGCCGAGAGCTAGTTACTCCGAACCAATGGGCACTTACCCTAGTATCCTACAGGCAGAAATCTACGCTATCGAGAGATGCGTACAACTTATCTTAGATAGGAACTATCGGAAACAAGAAATAGCCATCTTATCTGATAGTCAAGCAGCGTTAAAGGCGATCAACTCAGTCTCAATCAATTCGAAATTGGTCAAAGAATACATAGAGAAGCTGAATAAATTAGGCAAAGAAAACAAAGTCCTCCTACACTGGGTGCCTGCTCACCAAGGGATAAAAGGCAATGAAAAAGCAAATAATCTAGGTAGAAAAGGAGCGAACACTCCACTAACTGGACCAGAACCGTTCTGCTTTCCAAGTGGTAACCAACTCAAGGAGGAACTCAAGAACTTGGAAGATTCCATCCGCAACCTGGAATGGAAATCTTGCAATGGTCTAGGACACTCGAAGAAGTTTCTGAGGGCTTATGATCAATAAAAATCACAGATCTTCCTAGGTCTGAGTAAGAACAATCTTCGGATTGTCACGGGGTTTTTAACAGGACGCTGTCTCCTCAATGAACACCTCAGTAGATTGAAACTAAGAAGAAACGGCGAATGCAGATTCTGTGGGGAAGATGGGGAAACACCAGTACACCTCATCACTGAGTGCGCCGAGACGACAACCATTCGTGCCATGAATTTTGGTACGACTGATATTGGAGATGGAGAACTACCCTCTATAAAACCGTCCCAGATACTGGCTTTTGTCAAAGCCCTGGGACTGTATGATGAGTTATGATTCAAGAAAGGGGGACACAATGGATCTGTAAGGTCGAAGTGATTAACCCCCCTCCCACTCATTCTAAAAATTCTTAGATATATTTTTCCCTCTTTACACTACTCTACCCCGTTTAATGGGGCTTTTCATACCCACATATCACCCTGCAAAACTTTCTAAATACAGTACCGATCGAATAAGGAACAAACTATCTAAAATATCTAGATAATAAGATTCTAAATTGCAACTGTTCGAGCTCTAGCGCGTCATAGAGCTCTACCTAAACTTTGCGGCTCCGTCCCGGACGTGTTTCGTTATTGAAAACTGAAAGGCTCCATTGTTTCCAGGCACTTGGCCGACTTTCAGCCCCAACGTGAGCGAGGAACAAGCCGAACAAATAATCGTTTTAGCCGTGGAGAGCGGCATTAACGTTTTTGATCTATCAGAAGCCCATTCAGGTAAGCACACAGCATTTATTTTTACGGTTGTATTGTAGTGTTCTTGGTCTAGCTTATCCTATGATCCTATCAATGTTTGGTCTTTGTTTTTGCTTCGTTTTGTACCTTTAAAAACAACACAGGAGTCTCTTATTTAAGGCGGAGGTTACTCATGGATTATTTCTTGAAAACACCAGTTAAATCGAAACGCGTATATTGAAACAAACTTTTTATTACATACCCTTGTTTATTTTATACGGAACGAGTCTTAAATCAGTGCGAATAGTTTTAAGAGCGGTATATTATCAGGGAAAGAAGCAATTTGGAGCATTTTATTTCACCTAGCTAATTTTTGTCACATATCATATCTAGTTTTAATTCTGTAAAAATTAAAAAATGTTTTAAACGTATATTTTTTTATTACCGATGAATATTTTACTTCATATCCTTTAATTTTTGTTAAATCAACAAAAGTTATATCCACAGCCACCTAGATTTTATCAAATAATAAATATTTATTGACGCAAAATCATAAAAATGAAAATATTTAGGAAAATCTTTTTCTAAAGAGTAGGCACCCTTAATAGTTTTTTGTAGATATATCAATTCTCCATTAATATCGGAATAATATACTGGGTGTTCCATTTAAAATAAAGGAGTAACTGGCTTTTAAATGTGACCAATGTTCAATATTAATTTTTTTCTCACCCTGTATAGTTTTTCTGGTCAAATTTGAATTTAATTTAACATTCAACGGTTACTTTAACTAAATATCAAGATATACAAGGTAAATTACAATTTAGGTAGCTGTTACTGAAATTTAAAATGTATTCTTCAATTTCACGAAATGTGAAATATGTCAAAATCCATACATTTTACGCATATGCATTTTTAATGAAACTCACTTTAATTTTTTTCCTAAAATCCGAAAATCAATTAATATATAGGGTGTTCCATTACAAAAAACCTTACTTTGATGTGCAACTTTTTTGGGGACACCCTGTAGAATTCTCTATATTTTTAGAAAATTCTCTAAACTAACCTACATATGCTACAAAAATTTCGTTTCGATATAAAGTACCGTTCTCCATAGAGTCTCTGCGCCGTATGAGAGGCTCCACCATAGAGGTTAAAATAAGGCGCCACCCTGTATTCTTGTATGTAGCACTAATAGTAACATCTACCCTCAAAATTTTATTCGAATCAATAAAGGCACTTGAAAGAAAATTATAATAAATCGAAAAAAATGAAGTATTTAACTCCCTGTAGCTACGAAACATATTAAAAGTAAATCTTATTTTTATTCGATGAATCCCCTCCAAGAGACGGTACATGTTTTTTAAACACCCTGTATATTTTTATTTATTAAAGGGTTCAAACTTCTATTCAACACCAATACAGGGCGAGCCTTAAATAAGTGCAAATATTTTCAGGACTGTTAGATCTCGATAAAAGAAACATATTTTCTCTTTACCGTTTTTCAAATAAATCCAAAATCTTTTCTGGATTTTCTTTCTTGTAAATTTAATATACTACTTATGTTGCCATATTATCAAGAAATTGTGTTTTTTAACTAAAAACTAAAAAAAATACCAAAAAACTCTCAATTTTCATTTTTTTTTCGCGAAAAAACACATATTCATGTTTCTGAGGTTGAAACATACTACCCTTGAAAATATTTGCACTTATTTAAGACTCATCCTATATAATTAGTAACAGAGATATCAAAAATAAAACTCCAAAACAAAAATAATTAAATAAATAAATCAGTTTCAGACAGTAAAATACAACGCAATAACGCACAAAACTTTTTGACAAGGATATCATTTCCGAACAATAAAAAACAATAAGCTCCTTTATTCATTTCATTGTTGTTAGCCAAAACCCCTTTTCGAAAAATAAATTTGTCGTCTTCGACTCGCCGAGCTCGGTCTTTGAAACATCAAAAGTTCGGAAAAAGTTGCCAAAGCCATTCGTTACTTGTGCCGTTCGGCGACAAATTTCCTCGACACAAAAGCCAAAGCCAAACTGCTTCAGACTCGGGAACCGACTCGATAGTATAAGTTTTCGTTTGTGTTCTATTCGCAGGAACCAGAGCGGAGGTAGAATTGGGCCGCATTCTATCCAGAAGAGGCTGGAAAAGGACCAGCTTTATCGTCACGACGAAAATTTATTGGAGCACTAGGTGAGTTAGTTGAAATTATAGATATTTTCTGCAGTTTGATTGAAATGTGGCTACCAATAAAGCTTATTTTACCCCTCCAGTGCATGATTTTAAAAAAAAATTTGATTTTGAAATTATTGTGGATTTATAAGCGAGGCATGCACGTGCTCGAGTAATGAACAGCAAACAAGTCATACCGCGAATACTATTCTTAGTTCAACTAATTCTTTTGTAGATGATCATTCCAATTCAGAAAAAAGATAACCACCCTTTTCAAACCACATAAATTCTTGTAAACAAAAAAAAATGTGACATCAAATTTGACAATGCCAAAATCATATTTTTGCTGGCATTTTAATTGTAGCTTTCTCTGGGCCGTATTTTTTTAGTAATTTGAAGGTATATAGAATTTTGCAAATAACTTTTAGATGCCTATTCCAAATAAAACAAAATTCTAGATGACAGTACAACTTTAACGCCTTTTCAAAAAAGTGCATACAATTTTTGCATAAAATCATCTAGGGAGATAAAATTTATATGGAATTTCCTAGTACCCTCGTTCCGATGCACCACACGATATAAAAAAAAGAATAGTACAGACAAACAAATTATTGTCTCATTAAATCGAATTCGTATTTCTTCTAGTTTCTGAGATGCCAATGTTGAGCATCGAAATTGTAACAAATTAACCAAAAAAAAATATATTAACCAAAAAACTTTTTAAAGGTCTGAAGAGCGAGGACTATCGAGGAAACACATAATAGAAAGCGTTAAGGCCAGCCTACACCGTCTTCAGCTGTCCTACATTGATGTCGTCATCGTTCATAAAGCGGACCCGATGTGTCCTATGGAAGGTACGTATGCTATTTCTAATTCTTCTATTAGTTCTATTAGATTCAGCGACTTGGAGTGCTTGGGAGTCCTTTATTCCTGTCCAATGTCGAATATTCCTCACCCAGGATAGCTTCTTCGTCCCAATACCTCCGAAGATTTTACTCTGGAGAAATAGACGTTGAAAGTGGCATCATTCTTCACGTAATATATGTCCCAAACAGACTATTTTTTTCTTCTTGACGATTTCGAAGAGTTTACGTTCTTCTAAACCAGCTCTTCTGAAAATGTCTTTATTTCTCACATGGTCCACCCAGGATAGTCAGCATTCGTCGTGGTGTCCACATTTCGAAGCCTTCAATTCTGTTTATAGTTGGCATTTTTAGTCGCCATGCATCCTTCAAAGTTTTAGGAAAGTTGTTCAAACTTGTTCGATCCTACACTTTATCTTTTGATCTGGATCTCATGTTTTGGAGTGGTCAGAATTAAAATGGATCCAATTTCCTACTAAGTAGCTATAGCCTGTTTAATCATGAACAATTTTGAATTTTAAATAGTTAGTGTTTAATTTATTTTGATATTATTATCTTTCTTTTTATTATCGATTGTAAATATCATACCCAGTTATTCTGAAAAAATATTCTCATTATTAAAAATGTTTTCTCGTCTGTTGACAGAAGTAGTTAGGGCAATCAATTACGTCATCAACCAAGGCTGGGTAATGTATTGGGGCACAGCGCGATGGTCCCCAGTGGAGATAATGGAGGCCTACACCAACTGCAGGCAGTTCAACTGCGTAACGCCTATAGTAGAGCAGGCTGAGTACCATCTATTCTGTAGAGAAAAAACGGAGCTCTATATGCCAGAATTATATAATAAAATTGGAGTGGGTAAGTCTTAAAAACAATTTCAAAACTATATGTATAGCGATATCTTTAATAATATCCTTGTATATGGATTAGTATATTTTATTTTAAATTCTAGGATTGATGGCGTGGTCTCCCATATCCATGGGCCTGTCCCAAGGGAAAGACGACAGCAGTATCCAGTTATTCTCCAGGGCCAGTTTTAGAAACAAATATAGCTCGTTCTCTTGGACAGAAGATGAAACGGCAGCCACAAATAAAGAGGTATAAGAAATCAAATTAAAGTACAATTTTACTTGTCTCTTATCTCTTACCCTAAACTGTTCATCTTGTCTATTATTAGACAAGCTATTAGTTTGTCGGTTACTGGTTTAACCTAGAGTTACCTAGTTAATTACCCAGCTTACTAACAGGCTAGAATTAGAATTAGAATGAGTGGGAGGGGGGTTAACTACTAACAGGCTAACTAATTTGGATGTGGGTAAACTCGTTTAAGATTAAGGTAACCTTAGCTTTAAAAACCTGTTGCTAAACAGTCGATAAATTAGATTGTATCTAATAGCTGCTCTATATATTGTCGAGTTACTGTTGAACATTTGTTGTAACTATTTGTTTGAAACTGGAAGACAATGATGATTTATTCAGCCAATAGGAGATTCTTGATAACTCTATATGATATTTTGTTCGACAGTGGCGTAACTATCGATGTGCCGTGGGTGCGAAGCACACGGGCCCGGGCCCTCGGGGCTCTTTTCTTTAAAAATGATATAATAAATATGTTGTTTGTCATAAATCAATCACAATCTGGCAACGCTGTCGCCATCTCTTGTCACTCAAAGTTGATCATGTGCATCGGAAATTGTTTTGCGATTACTATATGAACGCATCCTGGATTTTAAGTTTTAAAATTAAGATGATTCTTCTAGTTAGTCTAAAACTTTTATTATATTTTCTTCAAATGAAGGTAAGGAACGCATGTTCTCTATTAATATTAATAGTAGTATTCTATACATTTTTCTCCTTGGAAAATAGTAGACAAAAAAGTTTATTGGGTGCTTTACAACCACATAATCAGTGTTCACTTTTAAAAACATTTTTACTAAAATGACGAATACACGATAATAATTTAGTATTAATATTCAAAATATGCTTTGGCTTTGAAAGTCCTTCTTCGATAGTTTTTAATTTTTCTGAGTACACCATAATTACACCATAATTTTTCTGAATACACCATAATTACACCATAATTTTTCTGAATACACCATAATTACACCATAATTTTTCTGAATACACCATAATTACACCATAATTTTTCTGAATACACCATAATTACACCATAATTTTTCTGAATACACCATAATTACACCATAATTTTTCTGAATACACCATAATTACACCATAATTTTTCTGAATACACCATAATTATACCATAATTTTTCTGAATACACCATAATTACACCATAATTTTTCTGAATACACCATAATTACACCATAATTTTTCTGAATACACCATAATTACACTATAATTTTTCTGAATACACCATAATTACACCATAATTTTTCTGAATACACCATAATTACACCATAATTTTTCTGAATACACCAACTAAAGGATGATTGCAAAATTATTTCTGGAATTTATTATAGAAGAACTCGTTTTTTCGAACAAAGATTTTTTTAAATAAAAACATATTACAATATTTTGAAGGGATGCGACGCATCACCCGCATCAATGGAAGCTTCCCCGCTGAGAACTCTACTAATATTTATGCACCGTCATACTTCTAATTCCTTTTAATATTACTGTTAAATTATTCCAACTTTTTAAATACCCCTTTAATTATAATTCTCCTTGTCTAACAAAGCCATTTTTTAAGTACGTGACATACATTCGTATTATTTCAAAATGTAGAAAAGGCACTTAAAATTTACAGAATTTTAAAAGATTTTTACGTTCGTTCCAGGGCTACGGCTGGATGAAGGAGCGCATCCAGCCGGAAGAATCCAGGAGACATTCGGAGAGAATCAGGGAATTAAACGGTCTGGCGGAGAAATTGGGATGCTCGCTGACTCAGCTTACCATAGCGTGGAGTTTGAAAAACGAGTCAGTGCAGTGCTTACTTCTAGGAGCCAGTAACGTGGAGCAGCTGTACGAGAATATCCAAGCTTTGCAGGTTAATAAAATAATATTTTTAACTAAAATTGAGGGCTTTTTATTACTTTTTCTGATACAGAATTGCGTAGACTAAGCAAAATTATAATTTTTTAGTTAATACCCAAGCTGAATACTAATATGGTTCAAGATATCGAAAAGATTCTTGAAAATAAGCCCTCTAGGCCGCCAATGGTTTCCACTTTGGCGCTTAGATGACAATCAATGTGCCCTCCAGGCTCTATTAGGTAAGTTTCTTCACTTAAAACTACATATTTTTCAGATTTTTATTAGCATTATTTCAACAGAAATACAGGGTGGTCCGCACTGTATTCCGGAAAGTTCGGCAGCATATTCTGCAGATAAAAATAAGTAAAAAAGTTCGTATAAATGTATGTCCTAAAATGCTTAGTTTCGGAGATACAGGGTGTACATGTGTAAAAGTTTCATTTTCATTTCGATTTTTTCCAAATAATTTAAGTAACGTCAATTTTTGGATGAAAATTGGTGTTAGTGGAAAGATGTTCGTATTTTATATTGTTTTCCTATCCTTATCCATTTCTCCTATCCCAATATATTTGTATTGTTATCATTGTGACACAATGATAACTTAGTAATGTATGGCAATCGCTTCTTTGATTTTAAAGAACATAACATAAATAACCATAACATACGTAAAAATTAAAAGTAATCATACAGAAAGTTGGGGGCCTTTTGGTTTTACCTTATCAAGTAATTGTTATCGGGTAGTAACTTTGTTCTCGAATAGTTGAATTTAAATATTTTCAATAGTTTTTTTCTTTATTCTTTGTATTTTTTTTTGCTTCCGACTACGGAAAGTGATAAACTTTCCGAAACGTTAAGCATTTTTTTGTTCGTTAGGCAAATTTGTATATCTGTAAACCTATCTTCTGACTTCCTCTTTAATGTCGTATCTAACATGAACTCACATCGACCTTGTGACCATGATAATAATTATTAATTTTTCTCTAGTGGCCAGGGGGGCACGAGCAACGCCGAGAGCCCCAAGGGCGACGACGTGAGCAACACGGACACCGACACCGGCAAAGACAGCCAGAAACTGCCCTTCTGCGAGATTCAGTGACACAGAGTTAGCGAGTTTGTGAAAACTCGTAAAAGCAAAACGCCCGACGAGAAGCCGCAGGTCAAGGAGAAGGTGCGCTGGTCCTACAGTCCCGAGGAGGGGCCCAAGTGCACCACCGAAACCTTCGTCTCGAAGAAGAAGGACAAGAAAGTGGTGAGCCCTGTGAACGTATGAGAGTGGAAGAAACAGAAAAGAGACCGCGCGAATCTCGCGGCAGGGGAGACTTTGATTTGAAAGGGTTCGGAACGTTGAGATAGATAATAAGGTTGTTGGTTTGGAATACGGATAAATAAGTAAAGGTAGACGCGTTCTAAGAAAATAAAATAATTATTGGTTTATACCTAGTCGTTCTATGTTCGTCTAGAAAAAGGTCTGAGTATTTTTTAGAAATTTAAAAGACAAAAACTCTATTTTTCGTAAAATGTCACTAGAATCCAGACTGAAATCAGAGACATTTAAAAAAATATTATATGATAGAGCAAAAACAATACGTTCAAACAACAATTCACTAAACAAAGATAGAAACCTTATAAAAGAAACACTAATAAAAAACGATTATATATAAACCACCATCCTTTATTGACCAAGCATTATACAAGCCATAGGTCCCAGAATACACGCAATGAAGATAGTACCCTATATAGGGTGGTAGGTCTAGGTGGTGGATCGGCGTTGGAAACATAGGAAATTCCATACAAATGTTGAACTGTCCAAATATTGGCTCAGGAGATATACCTCCTGAAAAATTAGTAATTTTTTGTCAGTTAAGTAAATTCCTTTTACTAGTAAAAAAATACTGACAAGCTGGTTTCCATTTCGATTCAACGCCAGTGGTGTTCTCAAAAAATAACTATTTTATTTTGTAGATTTTTTTCCAGTAGCGAAAATCCCAGAGTTATTTTTACGGAATATTTTAGGAACGCTCTACGTTTACGTATTTCTCTGAAGTTTATAACTTCGAAGTACTCAATTTTGAATTATAAAGTCAAGTTTTTATAGAGTCTTTATGATTTTTCTTATGATATCTTAAGTCATATACAGTGCCACAGATAAAGTAAACTAGCCATTGCGGGTAATATCTAAATTTGACATTTAAAGAAATAAATGAGTATAAAATGGCCTGAGTATGAATCCTGGCCGAATTTTGAAAAACTTTATTTGAGAAAGTTCTTTTTTTTTCAATTTTACATAAATATGCGAATTTTGAACCAATTGCCAGCCGTTAAATTTATTTATTACTCAAGTTAAACATAATATTATACAAGGTGTCCCAGAAATAAGTGCAAGTATTTTAACTGGTAGTATAGTGCAACCCCAGAAACACGCCTATGAGGTTCTTTTCGCGAAAAAAAAAAATTTGAAAATTCGGAATTTTTTGAAAAATTTTTTTATTTTTTTTTTCGTTTTTAGTTAAAAAATTTAATTTCTTGATAATATGGCAACATAGGTAGTAGATTAAATTTACAAGAAAGAAAATCCAGAAAAGATCCAGTGTTTCTCAAAATTTGAGCAAAAAATCATTTTTTTTTGGAAATTTTCAAAGTAAAATATCTCCGTTATTTTGGACTTAGATAAAGAGAAAATATGTTTCGTTTATCGAGATCTACCACCCCTTAAAATACTTGCACTTATTTCTGGAACACCCTGTATATAAGAGTGCAGGAAAAATTGATTTATCAACAGGTTATATTACAACTTAATTTGGATTCTCAATAATACTTAAAACCTTTATAACTGTTTCTGTGAAAACTTGACAAATCTCTAAAGCTCCGTCTACACATAACTTTTTACCTGTCAGTTTTGCGTGTCAGGTAAAACGGAAGACCGACTAAAATACTGACGGCAGTTCTGAAAACTGCCGTCCGTTTTAACATCCTCTGCATAACGTTTAACCTGCGGTTTTTTTTTAATTATAGCATTGTATAGTGAAAAAAACATGGCATTTTACTATAAAAAATTGTATTTAGGGTTTAAATTTTATTTGTAAACATACAAAGCTAATTGTGAAAGTCGTATAGTTTGGATAAATGTATTTCATTATTTCTAAACAATTTTGTAAAATAAAATTATTTTGTGAAATTATGCAAAACTATTAGATTTTTAAAAATCCATAATATTTCTTGTAAATTTACTTACATTATAACTTTTTCAGTGTAGACAAAACGGCAGATTTGTTGTAAAACTGATTGATACTGTATGATCGAAAAAAAACGGCGTCCAGTTGGCTGGCAAATGACGATCGATGACATTTCCCATATAAATTTTCATATAAATTGACAGCGATCTTCATTTCATAGCCATCGCTGACGCCGTTTTTTCTCGATCATACGGTACTTTCAGTTGTCTAAATGTTCCTCCGTCTTTATTCAGGTCAAGTAAAATGGACCGTTTTTTCGTCTACAAACGACGTTTTACCTGATATGTTTTGACTGAACAGGTAAAACTGACAGGCAAAACGTCATGTGTAGGCAGTGCTTTACTCAGCAAACGCTTTCGGTGATTGTGCTATATAAACAATGACTTTGTCTTCAAAGAAAATCAAATTATGTACTTATTGTAGAAATTTAGTATATATAATAAACAAGAAGCAATTAATACTTCAATTGGTAAAAAAAATAAACTATTTATATATATTTTTGAGCGTTTAAAATAAATGGCATTTGAATTTTTCAAACGAATATAAAAATTCACTTTTTAAACTCAAAAACAATTATATACTACCGTAAGTACTGTATGATCGAAAAAAACGGCGTCAGAGACGGCTTGGGAATGACAATCTATGATAATTTTGGCGAGGTCGATCTCTAGACGTCAAAAATCGACATAAATCTTCTCATAAATTAACACACCATTTAAAAATCATTTTTATATATAATAGCTCTAAAAGCCTAAAATGCTCATGGCTTGATTGGTTATCATTCTCTAGCCGTCTTTGACGCCGTTTTTTTTCGATCGTACGGTACTATTTTGAAGTATTAAATGCGTATTTGTTTTAGAAAATATCTTCCAATATTAAAAGCCGAGTTGCCTCTGAAAAGGTTTGAATACAATTTTGCAATTTGTAATTATATAGTGTGTAAGTGATCTAAAAAAGAAAACATTTAAAGTAAATAATGTATTTTAAACTAGTAAGGTATTTATTTAAATTTGGCACAATATTTCTAGTGATATTAGGTATATTCGCATGATAAAAACGGACAAATATTTTTATATTTAAAAATACTGGGTGTTAATTTTACCTATTATTAATAAACATAAAAATAAAAACAGAATCGTCAAAACATTTAAAAATAATGGCTTGGAAGGTAAGTGTTTATGATATTTATTATGAAATTAAAGCCTGATGTGATTGAGCTTGACCGGCACAGCGTTGCCGACTTTTACATATTTTCTTTTAATCAAAATATTTTAAGAAACAAAAATAAATTAATTACAAAACTCACCTCCTTAACAACACTATAATCTAAATCAAAAACTCGTAATACAAAACTAAAGACAATGTCAGGAAATTAAATTAAATAAAACGAACGAGAAAACCCTCCTGTATAGTCTGTATAAAAATATCTGTCCATTTTTGTTGAATCTTGAAAGTAACTTATACAAATTTTCAAGTAGAGCTTGAAATTGCTTCTCTGAATCTAATAGATTTATTATATGTATATAAAAGACATCGATAGAGTTAAATCAAACGCTATTTGGGTAATCAATATTGTTTTAAATTAAAACTCGTATGAAATATATAACGAAAAATTGTGAAAATTGGAGAAAAATATTGTAAATAGTTATTTGACGAATTCAACAAGACTTCCTGTATTTATATCATGACCAATTTGCAAAAAAATGTGTCATAAATAAATAAAATAAAACAAAAAGACAATTCCTAAAATATAACAAAAACTTGTTTGAAATACGGTCCTTTATGTGAGACCTTTTAAAAGTTATTGTATACTTAAAAAATAATGTCTAAAAATTAAATATGAACGAAATAAAGGGAAAAAATGATAATTAAAAAATTATAGGCGCAATTGATTATAAGCTTTTCTTATAACGTTCAAAACGTTTCTTCGGAGTATTATTCGAGTTTGTTAGATTTAAACCGATTGGTGCTGTTTTTTCTATACCTACTGTATAAAACGAAAAATTAATGTCTGAGTTAATGCAGAATATTTTCAAATTTGAAGGGTTATTCTAAATGAAATTGTAACTTTTTATAAAGTTTGTATTTTAAAATATATGCTGGACAAGTTTTTTTATATTTTTTATTTTATGTTTTATTAATGTTTATTAATGAATTTTATTTTAATAAACATAAAATAAAAAACATTAATAAAAATTATATTTTTATTAATGTTTTTTATTTTATGTTTATTAAATATACCAATCTGGTCATTGAAACTGCGTGGTCGGTATTTTAACCTGTATGACAGTGATGTCGATCGCTTAATAGATAATCAAATCACAGATCAAATGTATTAAAAAGAGATAAAAGTTGGGTTGATACATTTCTTCTATGCGGTATTGCCGGATTTTGCATCAAAATTTCAAACCGCGCAAGTAGGCGTTTATAAAAAATATTGCATCTAGGGTTGGTACTTTATTTTTCACAATTAGTTACTCGTTTTACTATAGCTGTAATAGATTATATTTAGCTTAGAAATTATCTTCATTTCAGTAGTTTCCTACAAACGTAAAAACCGGCAACACTGTATGCAGCTTTTTATTTTGTTTCTCTGTCTGTCAACCGGTCATTTATATTTATCTCTGTCGCACGCATTATAATACAGACCACATATGTAACAACTAAAGCCCAATATAGACGAAACAACACAAGTTAGAATAACCCTTCATTATAAAGAAATATCTGTTGTGACAAAGAAATATACACGAGAATAAGATAAATATTAATTTTACATTAATATAAAAAAATATATTTGTTTCACTTTTTTTGTATTTAATTAGATTTTTCTTTATTTTTAGAGTAAAAATATAATTACATATTATTTTGAATTTATATTTATTGTCTAGAAAAGTATTGTTACAGGCATTTATTAATTTATTTATGTTTTTATTTGTCATACAATAATTTTATTTGCACAAAAATCGAAATATTCTCATGTATATTTGAAATAACATAATCTAGAATACTTTTCTTTGCCTTAAATCAGTAGATTTTACGAAATTGACAAATACAAATTAAGGATTTTTTTCTTTTTAGTTATTATATGAATATGTACAGAGTGGTCAAGTTTTTGTAATAAAATTGTATAATTCCAGAGAAAATCTTATTTAATGTCAAAAAGTCTTACCTAACATTGGTGTACAATATCACGTAGCAGACAAAGATTGGCAAAGCAATTATTTTTTAAAATAGATTGTACCAAATGAATCTAGATCACTCTATATATGTTAATATTATTCATATCCATGAATATGTATAATATTTAAACAAAATTAAAACTAAAAGATCACATTGTTTGAAACAAAAATCTTTAATTTGTATTTCTATACATTGTTTTACGAAAATTGTACATTTCTATATTTAGATTATTAGACAATTAGTCCATAGATTTCTTGTTATCTATTTCTTGATTCTATTTTACTATTATAATATAAATATAAAAGACGAATATCTATTTAAAATTGTTGTAAAATGTTGTTATATTCATATTCAAGTTTTTTTAAACTGATTTATTATTTCAAAAGCACATAATGTTTTGTCTGTACTAGTTTTTTTTTTAAATTATGTACTCTAGAATTAAAAACTTTGTTATTTAAAGATAATAATTGTTAATTGAAATAACTATAAAATCGGGAAATTTGTAAAAAACATATCACACTCAATTTTTAGCAATAAATATAAACATATGTTAAATAAGTTTTAAGGTCTATCTACACATGTCAGACTGGTCTCAGTCAAACAGTCTTGTTGCCTTTAATTTCAAAGGGCATGTTCACACACATGCGGCTCCGTCACCGTGTTAAGCTTGTTTTTCATGCATCCGTTGTCCGACGACACGATATTAATTTTATTGGTTGAATTTAAAGACTAATATTCATGAATCACACAGATTTTGACTGAATGAGACGTGACGAACATGTGTAAATATACCTTTATTGTTGAAGAATTTATTGTTAAAGCTGCGAAGGAGTCTAATTGTTAAGTTACCCCGATATGTATATTTTAAAATATTTATATTTTTTAAAAATCCCGATAAATACAATGTAATTTTATGTTTTGCCTGTAAAAAAATTATTATAGATGACCTCTACTTCTTGACCATTTTTCAAAGTATTTAACGCAAATTAAGCATTGTAAATATTTTAAATAAACCATAAATAATACTAAAACCAAAAAAGTAATCTAACAATATTATATGAAATGTGATCTTACGAAACTTTACTACTAAAAAGCTTTTTTACTGCATTTTTTTCTCGGCGTTATTATGAATATATAATATAAAAAAAATCGTTTTATCAAAACTGATTGTTTTACGGCAAGTTAAGTAGGTTTTTCCTTGAAAATAAAATATTTCTCTTACAGAATTAATTGGATTGTGTTTTATTTGCCCATTGAATCGTGTTTATTCGTTAATTTTAAATATATGTAAATTGTTATTTTAATTAACTTGAGAAAATAGTAATTTTCGTCGAAAAAAAATTGTTGGATTTTAATAATCACCCTATATATTGAGGAAAATACTTTTAAAATACGCGTTACCATTACTTGTAGACCTACGAAAAAATTAAATAAAAATCTCCCCCCAGAAACCTGATAACGGAACTCAAAAAAAATTGAAACGATTTTTTTTTGGATGAAGAAATATTCTTAAAAAATAAAAAGCCCATCCTATCTAGCCCTAACTTGAGTACGATCATTAGATTGTATCTTGCAAACTACTTAAAACCACCCTTTTTGATACGATCTTACCAAACCAACCGAAAAATAACGCTCTCAAACTTAAAAGAATTAGGGGCTTACCCCAGTTTATCTGACTGTGAATCAAGCAAATTCTGCGGAACCACCAGTCTAGTACCACAAAGAAAGTTCCATGGTACCATGAATCGTCTTTCAGTCGTAAAAGTGCGTTTAAACAGTATACACTCGATTTTTTGAAAAGCTTTTATTTTTATTTTCACATCATTTCTCATAATGAAAACAATTTTTGTATTTTTATTAGTGTTAAACTTTTTGTCTGTATTATTTTCTTATCCTACTAATGAACGTGGTAAGTAACTATTTAATTTATTTTTAAAAAATAGTTAGAGATTCTTTAACGGTTGATGACAACAGAAAGATTAATTTATATTCTTATCAGGAAATTCTTTAGTTATTGCTTTTTAATGTCGTCAAACATTTCTTTTAATAAATTTCATTTTTAAATATGTTTATGTCACTGGAAGATAAAAAAATACTTATTGGTATTTTGTTAAATGAGAAAATTTATACTTGATATAGTTTTATTAATCTCGATTAATAAATTAATGCATATATTCATTAATTGTATAAAATACAGGGTATTTTATTTAAAACAGCAATGTAAAAAATACAACACTTAGTTTTGACTCCTCCAGTACATGCAGTATAATACTTATACCTATTTTACTATCAGTAATTATAGAGAATATTTTTATTACTTAAAAAAACAACAATTTTAGTTTAAAAATAAATTTGAGAAAGGCATATACAGGGTGTCCTATAAAAGAATCCAGTAAGTATTTCTTTGTAATTATTTTTTACATTTTTTGAAAACCTGGTAAATCAAAATTATAAAATACTAAACTTAAAATATTTTCTGTGATCACAGATAGAAAACCCTGTATTATTTTTTATAATAAAACAATTCATTTTAGCAATACAACTTCACCGATTAAAACAAGAAGACAGTCCCAGCATACAGTACAAATATATATTGAAATCAACCATCGTCAATCCCAAGCAAAAATATTGGTGGAAAAGAGGGACCCATCGAGTTTATACAGACATCGACCAAAAACCTGAAATTATTTTTGCATAATCAAGAATCGAGATTTCTATGATGCAAATAATCACGTGAACTATTACTAGAAGGCTGATTAATGTAAATTATTTATTTTAATTATATTTCAAACATTAACATAAATAAACCACTTTGTTGTTGCATTTTTGTTTGGTCCACTTTACAATCAAAAATCCTTTAAGAAATACCATAAAATTCTGCTGAAGTATTATATAGAAGAATTTAAATTAAATGTAGTTTAATGGACTAGTTAATTAAGAGAAAACGCAAAATTTCAAATTTTTTAAAAAATTAATTTTGCATTATGGCGCCATCTATTAAAATATCCATTAACTTTTACTCAAATTTAAAACAGGATTCTTCTTTTGCAAAATGCAAATTTATGTCAACATCAAATTTGTCAATAAAACGTCAGATTTTGGCGACCAACGAAAAGCTTCTTCAACTTGGAGAAAAAATTCAAGAAATAGAAATGGATAATAGAAAAGCTTCTAGCCAAGGCCTGGAAAACCCTCCTTTATCTAGATTATTTATTATCGGACCAAAATCTCTAACCGAAGAAGATTTTCGAAAACATTTCGAAGAGTATGGCACCATTGAGGAACTTTGGATGGTTAAAGACAAAGGCACTGGCGATTATAAAGGTTTATTTAGTGTTATATATTCATAGAGTGTTATTATCTATTCTTTCTTATTTAGGAATAACGTACATCAAATTTTCTAAAACTTCTGAAGCTGCACAAGCACTAGAAATGATGAACGGAGCTAGTTTAGCGAACAGTTCAAGAAGAATTAAAGTTATGATAGCTTCTAGGTAACCAAATTATAATTCTTTTTGCCCTTAAGTATATCACATAACATTTTAGTCGAGAACAAGGCTCCAAACGTGACCTGAACGAGGAAGAAAAAGCACAAAGATTGTTTATAATGTGCGCGAAGTCTGTGAACGAAGATGACTTGCATGACTACTTTAGACAGTTTGGGGAATTAGAATATGTCAGTATTATTAGGGATAAAGGTTCTGGAGAGAGTAAAGGAATTGCTTATGTCAAGTTTTTCAAGTTAGTCACGACATTCAATAATCAGTTGCTAAAAATGTTATATTAAGAGTTTTTTCAGATTTTCTTCTGCTGCAAAGGCTTATGAAGAGTGTGATCGAAAATATAAGCCAGTCTTTGCAGAACCAAGAAGAACTGAACCAAGTTTTAGAAAAGCAGAACCCAGAGACTTTCCTAGAGGCAATTTTTCGAATGATTATTCAGGAAATACTGGAACCGTGAGAAATTTGGTAAGTTCTAGCTTGGCTGCCTCTTCCTCAGGTATTAGCGAAGGGTACACTAAACTGACTGTAATAGCTAGTCCTGAACTAAATCAAGATCAATTGTGGAAGTTGTTTGATATTGTACCAGGTAAATATAAGATTTTTTTGTTTGTTTTGAAGTCAAAGAATATTCTCTAATTAGGTATGGATTATTGTCAAATTCGGTACGAAGGAGGCAGTTCAAGACCATCCAGAGCAGTAGGTGAAGTAGTGTATACAAGTTCACAGTGGGCAGCTCATGCTAAAGAAAAGTTACATGGCTTTGAGTATCCTCCGGGGTATCGTTTAATTGTTAAGCCGGACTTTGAAGGTCGCCCTGATGTGCCTGAGAGCTCTAGGAAAGATTTGCTAAGTATTGCAGAGACGTTGGCTCAAGCTACAAGTATAATAGAAGCAGCAAGATTAAATCCTGGTATTTTGTTAAACCCATTTATTCAATGGTATATATATATATATAAGTAATTTTTAGCTTCTTTGTTAAATCTGGGAAATGGTGGACATCAGCCGAACTGCAGCGTAGAACTTCCTGATCCCAAACCGCTTGTTCACATTGACGAAGAGACAGTAGCAAGGTAAAAGGTTTATTTTTTGTGTAATGATTAAATGATAATGTATGTAATGTTTTGTAAGGTGTTTTGTCATATGCTCTCCGTACCCTTTACCCAACCCTGTCCTGAGGGATTTGTTCTGTCGATTCGGTGGCTTGATAGAGGTCTATATGTTAGCCAATAGGAACTGCGGCTACGCTAAGTATAACAATCAGAAGTCTGCGATGCAAGCTATGCAGGTATATTGTTGTTATATTTTTTTTTTGTTATTGACATTTCCAGTTCTATCTAATAAGTACAAAATGATTGAAAAAAACGGCGTCAGCGATGGCTATGAAATGAAAATCGTTTTTCGAGATCGTCATTTTATATGTAAAATTAACACTACATCACCCGCATCAGTGAAAGTTTCGCCACTGAAAATTCTATGGGGAATGTCATCAATCGTGATTTCCAAGCCAACTGAACGCGTTTTTTTTTTCGATTATACGGTATTTACTTGTTTCTCTGACATCAAAATTGTATGCTTTCAATAATTGTTTTGCATTGCCTTAAATTTTTGTTGTAATTGTTTTTTTTTAATACAATGCAGACGCTTCACGGTGCAGAAGTAAATGGTGTTCGTCTAAAAGTAATAAAAGCTGAAGAACAAAGAAAAAGGCAGAGGATGGATGCAGATTGAAGGTATAGTATTTGATCTGTGAGTATTTCATGCAATATTTAAGTTTTTTGTGATACACCATTTTATAGAAAAAAAGGGGCGTCGCAATGGCCCTTGTCAATTTCAAAGATTACTATGACACGTTTTTTTTTTCAGTCTTGTAATATTTTTTTCCTCCAATAGCATTTTATAGCGCTTTTTGTCTTAGTTATATGTAACTTTTGCTTATTTGTGTTTACTTTTACCTGCTGGGTTTGTTTTTGTTTTTTTTGTAACTAAAATAATTTGTCACTAAAATTTTAAATATATTTTTGCTTTGGGTTCCAATTGTACCAAGTTAAAAATATCTGGCGAAGACAGATTTTGAACGTACGGGTTAAACTGGACCGAATACTCACATACGCTGACGTTTTCAACTGAACAGTCCTACCCGTTCGGTTAAAACCGTGTAAAATAACCGACGTGTATGAGAGCCTTAACGAAATTTCTACGTCTATGTGACCGTGTCTTTTTTACCACACGTTATTACAAGGATAAATAACTGAATTTTCCTTACATTTTCGCAAAACTGTTTTAATCTAAGGTTTTAAGGCAATAAAATTGTCAATATAGTGATTTCCGATGTTGGGTATAGTTATTTACTGAAGTTATTTTCATTTTAGAGACCCCGACATACGACAAAAGAACATATAAAATTGACACGAAGAATACAACAACGCAACTTAATTTATTTTATCGTGAGACATTACTATTTTACCGTTAACTACACTGCGTACCAGTTACTGCATAAACAACTTAACTGTTTACACGTTACTGTTTTTTACGGACTGGTTGATTTACATGTTCGCAACGTTTTTTCCGCTTTCTTTTAGTTAAATGTCCTATTTTTTAAAGATCTGTTTTCATGGATTAAATAAAAAGGATTATACGATATCACGTTGTTTTATTTTCCTGTTCTATTAAACAAATAACAGAAATTAACATCAGCTTTGTTGTTTTAATTGCATTTCTGAATTTTCCCCCTTAACTTAGAGAGTCCCCTCTAAAATTTGACGATTTTTTACATAGTATCCAGTGGCGTAATTTGTTTTTTCTTAATATTCTTATTTTTGAGATGTTAACCAATGTTGAGGTTTTTTTAAATGGGACAGCCAGTACAGAGTGTTTCAAAATATCCGAATATGCTTTTTTTCGTAGCTACAGGTGTTTAAGAACTTTCTTCCAGGTGCTTTAGCGATTCGAATGAAATTTTCAGGGTACAGTACAAGTGCAGCATATTTGAATGGCAGAAAAATGTCGACATATTCACCAGGGTCGTGCATAAGGGTTATCACTGGAAAATTTTTCTAAAAAAAACATATACGCCACTGACTTTTTTTTCTCTTGTTAACAAAATTGTGTAGACCGTTTAATGCCGATTAAAAGTTGTCTCTTGATATTTTGTCGATTCTTTTTTTTTTGGTGAGATAAACGCAATTTTATTAATTTTTCTTAATCCCAAGTCTAATAGCAACCTTTAAAAAAATTATTGTCATTAACTAACTAAAGTAACAAATAAGTAAACATTTCAAAATTCTTGCCTGGTTTAGATCATATCTTGAGGGTAGATATCAGTGTGTCATGTGCTCGGGTAAAAAATCCTCGCCGTTAAGTGTCTGTTGCGGTGTACCACAGGGCTCTGTTTTGGGGCCTATTTTATTCTTATTGTATATTAACGATTTGACAGAACTGCACATCTCTGGACATTTCACACTCTTTGCAGATGACACTTCAATACTATGGCAGGCCAAGGACATTGAGCATCTTAAGGGAATCATAAGCAAGGACTTATCCTTCATTAAAGAGTGGTTTAACTCAAATCACCTTTGTTTAAATTTATCCAAGACGCATGTTGTTGGGCTTAGGTGTGACATCGCAAATCTACATTTCGAGGGGGGGTTTGCTTGCAGGAATTCCTGCGACTAGATCCTAGGAATTATTATTGATAGAAATCTGCGATTTGAAGACGATATTCTGGCCTTAAGTGGCAAGTTGTCTTCTGGATGCTTTGCTGTTAGGGCAATTAGGGAAGAACTGGGTTCACAAGTGGCAAGGACGGTCTATTTTAGTTTGTTTGAGTCTCATCTACGGTATGGAATACCATTCTGGGGTGTAGCTAATCAGGGTCTACTAAACATTCTTTTTATTTTACAAAAAAAGGCCGTACGATTTATTGTAAATGTACCACTTAACGAATCCTGTAGACAACACTTCAAAGCTCAACAAATTCTTACACTACCATGTCTTTTTATTCTGGAAATATCATCCCTTATTTTTAAAAATCGTATCAGACTACAGGGTCCTATACCCAATATTGTTACCCGCCAAACCCTGAATCTGCCCTTACCACTTCCAGATAGCACATTGGTCAAAAGATCTATAATATATGAGGGCCGAAAGATCTTTAATCATCTGCCGGTTGCTTTAAGATTGGTTAATTCCATAAAAACCTTCCGGAGACTACTGAAAAGGGAACTTATAAATAGGGCATTTTACAGCGTTGACGAATTCTACCGGGGCTCCCTTGATATTAGTGTTTAGAGTCTAGAATTGCTTGTTAGTCTGACTTATTCTTTTTAGCGTTATTGTTAATTTTCTCTTTATTCTGTATATTGTATATGTTATTTTACTTAATTGTTTACACCTATTTTTCTGAATACTGTTTGTTGTTTTAATGGATGTATTTCTATCTTATATTTACACAATTTTTTTTATTTTAGGTTTAGATTTAGGAATATTTATGCTTTGTTAACAAAAATTTGTATATTTTTTAAACAATAAAGTACTTTTGAAATTGAAATTGAAAAAAATTTCACTCGAATCACTAAAAACAGTTGAAAGCTACGAAACAAAGCAGAATCACACCTATGTTGATATAAAAAAATAAATCTTATTTTACATGAGAAATCTCCCCACGCGAGATGGCACATGTTTTCTGAATCACCCTGTATATTAACCAATACGTTAAAATGAAAATAAACAGTTTCTGTACGTACATTTTTCTCTTTATTTCGGTAGTAAATATTTAAATTAGATTATAATAAATTCAACTCAATCACAAAAAACTCATCACTCGGTATTCACACACTTAAAAATTAATCGACATATATATAGTGTTAGTATTAAAAAATAAAACCTCCTTAGTAATTCAATAGTTTCCTTAAATGCATTTTAAACATTATTTATAATATATTTATTCATTCGCGCAGCGGTATATACAACTGATTTTTTTTATTGTTCGACTTAAAAATTAAAAATATTACAGTTGGTTTATCTCTGTATGACAGATGTCTAGATGGTCATCTGTCATACGGAGGTACAAAGCAAAGGAAAACAATGAAATTTTCATAATATTTACTAAAAAATATCGGAGCATCAGTTTTACTTTACTTTAAGAAAGCAACTCTATTATTTTGTAGTGATAAAATGTTTTGCAACATTACTTATTCAGTTCTAAGTTGTTTCAAACGTATAAAATAATACAAAGTTGCTAATAGCACCACACTTTCCATAAATATAAATTCTTCAAGTATTTTTTTATAATAAATTTAATTTTTACGTGCTACAGAATACATTTAAAACAACTTCAAATAAACCTCTTTGTACAAGATTACAATAAAGAATTATAGCTGATTTATACAAATTTAAAAAAAGAATCTAAATAAAGTACTTTAATAATCAAATTATAATATTTTTAAATTCAGAAAAGCATTTTAATTATTTTTACTTATAGTTACCCTATTACCAGGTTTGTAAGTTCACTGTAATCTGTAAAAAAGTCCTAAATATACATTAAATCTTAAGATTAAATAGATTTTTTCCTGTGCAACTTGAACCAGCTTATAGATATATCTACAGGGTGAAACAGTCTTGCAAAAAAGCATCATCTCATATTTTTTGTATAAGATTAGTTTTTAAAGAAAATACTGTAATTCTTTCACTGAAGATTTCACATAAAATTTCTTTTTATGTTTTTAATGGTGTCCATTTTAAAGCAAATCATATTGGATATCTACAGGCTGAATTAAAACTAGATATAATTTTTATCCATTATTTCAGATGAAACACCCTGTATTTTATATTATAAATCAACACAGATCAATATTTATTGAGAAAGCAGTACTCTTATAAAAAATATTTATCAAAACTTATGTTCATTTTTATCATAATACAGGGTATTCCATTTCAAATAGTTGAGGAAATTACATCATCTAGTTTTGACTCACCCTGTATATACCACGCAATAATAGTGTATTTTAGTAAACATAGTTTTGAAAAGCACACTATTGTAATAAAATGGTCATAATTCAAAAACTGCTCAGTATATCTAATTATGGTGGGCGACTAAAAAAATATATTTGAATCACCCCCTGTACATCTGTCTGCTACTATTGCCCACATATTTTGTAATTGAAAATGAAGTGATAATGTCAACAAAAAATACATGGTAAGGTGCTTTTTCAGAATATATACTGAATCACCCTGTATATACGCCGGTTAGGTGATGGTGAAACTTGGAATCACGCTGAAAGCCAATGTACCATAACTCAAGCACATAATGTGATTCCTATCACTATATACCATGGTTCAAATCTACCTATTTAGTCAATATCTTTGCTTTCAAATCCGATATAGTCTCTGTCTTATCTAGTTTAGTTTGCAACAAACACTTTTGCAGCGTTTTTTTTGTAACGCAAAACAAATAAGCTTTAGAGAATAAGGCATTTTTTACGTCTTACTGGCTCTGGCGGTTCCAGGGCCGCTAGTATGGCCTCGTCGAAGACGTTCTTCAAACCTTTCTGTGTCAGAGCGGAACACTCTACGTATTTGACAGCTTTAAGTTCGCGAGCTAATTTTTCACCCTGCTCGATGGAGATTGGCTTCTGCTTGTTTTTGGCTAGTTTTTCTATAGTAGCTCCGTCATCTCTCAGGTCCACTTGTGTCCCGACAAGCAGAAATGGCGTTTTTTGACAGTGGTGTGTTATTTCAGGAACCCACTAAAAGAATTAATCTATATATTGTAAAAACCGATGTACAAAAGCACAACATTTGGCACAAAGGTCCCTTAAGTAACACAATTGATCACTAACAAATGGTTTTTGGAATTTCATCTCCCTTGGGGAAATAAATTAGGTTTGTATGATACATAATAGCTTTAAAAGCATAAAAATTAGGAAAAAGGTTCATTAAAATGACATTAATTAGTAAAACAGCCTGGTAAAAGCTATATTAAACATATATTTACCTTTTCTTTAACATTTTCAAAGGAAGAAGGACTGACTACTGAAAAACAAACTAGGAAGACGTCTGTTTGTGGGTAACTTAAAGGCCTAAGCCTATCATAATCTTCCTGACCTAAAAAGACATTTTTTTTGTATTATACAGCATTCGTTAGAAATCTAATAAATATACCTGCTGTATCAAAAAGTCCTAGTGTATATGGTTCACCACCTATCATAACAGTAACTGCATAGTTATCAAATACTGTTGGAACATATTCTGAAGGAAATTTGTTGGTTGTATAGCTGAAAGAACACATTAACAAATAGGTATGCAAATTAACAAAGGTATAAATAGAAAATGTAATTATCAGTACCAATTAGTCATTTGATGTTTATCAGAGAACACCTTAATGAAAGTATTTCTACTGATTTAAGATATATCTCATGTTTCTTTTTATGTTACAATTTTTATAGTTATTAAAAACAGGTATTAGAATAGGTCCTTCATGTATACAGGTGTGGTATTCAACTCTCTTGGATTAGACAAATCTAGTAACTTTGACATTGGTTTATTTAAATATTTATAACAAAGAAAGAGTTATTATAAGAACAATACTATGCTGAATAACTTACCTAATAAGTAAACATGTTTTACCGACCGCTCCATCACCAACAACCACACATTTAATTGTCTGCATTTTGGAATTTTTCTCTAAAAATAAAACAAAAATAAATATCTCCCTTCACATTAAACTTCCACCACTAATAACAACACATCTGCATAACAAAAAGGCATATAAACGCAATCTTTTAAACACTGAACAACACCGTTTGGATAAAATTATGCAGATATTTTTATCAGCTTGCTGCCATTTTTAATTCAGTAAACGTAGTGGAAACGAGACTCAAAACCTACTTTATCGTCCTTTATCTTGTCTCGAGCGCGATTGCGAGGCACGGAATACTTATTTTTATGTTAATTAATAACAATTACCTGTTCGGGGTTTAAAAAAGTTAGAAATTCCAAAGTTTTGGGTTGGGTTCCCACTATTCACGTACACACAGAACTTCAAGAACTTCAGAATCCACTAGCGACATCTTTGTCAAAACGTGCGAAGCTGACATTTTATTGAGCGAAGTTAGTTACGAATCCAACTGTCACTGTCAGGCGTTAACAGGATATGTGTTGCTATATACTTATAACTGTGTTGATGTGTTGCTAAGATATTATAGCCATAAAAAATATTAGAAAAAGAAGAAGAGAAATGTCATTTTTTGAGGTTAGAAGTTTGAAGTAAAATGTTATAATTATATTTATTTAAATATCCTTTTATTTACATCTAATATTACTAAAACTTAAGTTAAGAAGTTCATTATGAACCGAACAGCTAAGAGAAGAGTTAATAACGTGCTTAACGTATTTCACAAAAGCATTGTGTCGGCATGTGTATTTACTACAGTCGCAGGCACCGTATATTTAGGATACAGATATTATAATTATTTAACCGTTGTGAAGCCACAACTTGCTGAACAAAGACGACTCGACAACCAGGATTTATTAGCAGAAGGTTCTTCAGGAAAATTCTTAAATGCACATTTAAAAGAGGCCACTTAACAGTACCAAACCGATATGGACTATTTGTAGATTTAGTAATCAAATGTGTTGTATATATTTTGCTTAAGGAAATAGAGTGTTAGAAAAATAAATTGTTTATATTTTATTGCGATTTTCCTGCCGAATACTGCCTCAGTAATTTTTTAATTTTCTACCTTATACTGAAGGAAGAGAGGATGTTTATTGAAAGTACCTGTAAAAACTATATTTAATGCACTCTCTAAATGATTTTAAGTGTTCCAAGAAAAACGCTTTAATCGTTTTTACAAAAATTAAAACTTTTTGAATAGTGCTTATAGATAAGGAGCGATAAAGCATCACTTTTTGGTTATCTCCCGTAGAAGTAATTCCAAGATGGCGACAAAGGTTAAAGTTGGTTTTTCCCTGATTTAATGCTTTTTTCCAATATTAAATGCACCAATATGAGTTCCCGAAGGTAAGTTTTTAATAAATCAATGTAGTACCATCCTTTCCCAAATAAATTACCAGCTAACCTTATTCAGAAAAAAACGTCGAGACCCTTAAAAGATTTTCCGTACGCTACAGTACCCAAACAGATTAACAAATTGTTTATTTTCCTTCCCAAAATGCCTTTTTCAAGGCGTTCCAGTACTATACTGTGACAGAACGATTTTTTCACAATATTGATTTGCTACAGGTGGTTTTGGCCCACTATCAGTGGAATTGAAGCTGAGAGGGTTTTAATGAAAAGGGGCGTTGATTGCAGCTTCCTAGCTCGACCTAGTTCCTCAAATCCCGGCGATTTCACCCTGTCTGTCAGGTAAGTTATCGTTTAACCGCTAGTATATAAATATACGAAGATTTAATTATTGTCTTACCATCTCAAGTGGTGTAGTTTTTATTATTTTATTCTCTACAATATAACAATATGAAAGTTATGTTAAAAATAGCAAATATTTAATGAGTTCAGATTATTTAGAGATACTATGGCAAATAATGGCGAGAAACATATAAATTCCATTGATTTTTCAATAAAATCTACACTAGAAAATATTCGTTTAATGCTCAAGACACTTGAAACTTTGCTTGGATACTTTTGTATAGCTTAATTTTCTTTAAAAAATTACAAATTTATTGAATACCTAATATTTATTATTGTTGTCCGTTTAGGCGTAATGGTGAAGTTACTCATATTAAAATCCAAAACTCTGGAGACTTTTACGACCTGTATGGTGGTGAAAAGTTTGCAACGTTGTCAGAGTTAGTTCAGTATTACACAGAAAAACAGGGACAACTTAAGGAGAAAAATGGCGATGTTATTGAGCTAAAATATCCATTGAATTGTGATTGCCCTACAACAGAAAGGTAAGTCTTTATTCTTTTTTATAATATTTCAAATCTTGTTTGGTACTGTCACAGATTAAAACAGATTTATCAGTGAGACGGAGAAAATAAATAAAACAAGGATGCCCATTTGGTCCCTTTAAATATTATTATATTATATTTAAAGGGGCCAAATACAAAGTGCATGTGTATGATGAATCTCTACAAAAAAGCTGTGCCACAGATTAGGTATTTCAATTGAGAATACAGTTTTTACAAAAGGCAACAATGCATTTAAAAAAAAACGAAGTTTGACAACGCCATAGCCCTATTAAAACTCTGGGGTCATAGTGGCGCTTATCAGCAAGATGAAATAAGTGCTACATCTGTAAGTTAATCTGTGGTACTGTAAAGCAATTATTTTTTTTATATAATTTTTCCATTAATTTGTAAGGTATAATTAGTTTGTCAAATTCGACGTTACAATTATCAATGATTTGTTAAATTGTTTAGAATAATTATTACTGTTGAGTCAGCAGTGGTTGTTAATTCTTCTAAAACGGTAGTAATAATATGTGAGTAATATAAAATATTAAGACCATTAAGACTAAATAAAGAAGAAACTGACGTGACTATGGTCATGTAGATGTGAGCTCTACAGAAAGGTAAAAATATTAGTATTCTACATTGTTAAGAGATGGCGATGCTAATGATCATTTGGGTTTATTATTGTAATTCATTGAATATATATAATGGTCGAAATATTGTAGGTATTTCTATGAGGGAATTTTAAAGCACATTTTTTTCAGATATATTGCATATTTTTTTTATGCAAAAAAGTGAAATACTTTGGTAGTTTATTATCTTTAAAAAAAGTAATTGATTCTTTCTATAAAATTTTTTGGATGGATGTTAACTGGGCTTTAGGGAATGTCTGAGATCAGTTCATAGGTTTAGAAAATTTTAAGTACGTTCCGAAATTAATTGAGCGCGTTCCGTTTTATTAATTAAAAAAAATCACACGCGAAGGAATATTCCTTATTTTTACACTCTTGTTTACTTACACCCTGTAGACAAATATATCATACAATCGAAAAAAAACGGCTGAGATTGATAATCGATGAAATTTTGGCGAGGTCAAGCCCCAGAAGTCATTGCTTGGCTCATTTCTTCTTTATTCTTTAACTTGAGTAAAAATTATTTTTAAATGGTGTAGTTAAAAATTCGAGAAAAATAATTTTTTTTGGAATTTTTTTTCGATCATAGTATTTTATGAATATTAATATTAAAATTAAGATATTATCTGGCAACTTAATTTGATTATTTTCAACACCAGCGCACTTATTTTTATTATACAATAATCAAAAAATTAATTTGATGTTTTGATGTAAAGTTTTTTCTTTAACGTTATAATAACATTATTATTTTTCACGTTGAATTAAACATAATCTTTTTATTAAATCATGCATTATAATGGTAGTGGTATATTTGTTGCATGTGACATAGACAATAGCTGTGGCAATTATATAACAATGACCAATTATTTATATGGAGGATGTCATCGATTTTATTTTCCATAAATATCTTTTGAGTGATTTTTTATTTCAAGGCTTTCGATTGGTATTGGTATAGTCGAAAAAATATATCATAATATTGAATGTTTGTTTTTTTAATAAAAATTGTAGATTTTTTTGTAAAGAAAAAATATTTTTGGAAACACTTCGAGAACGGATAAATTGAGGACTAACCAACGCTACCCACCCCACCAAATAACCAACTTAACTAACGCAACTAACCTCGGCACTGATAAAAAAATATAAAAAACAAATATAAATTACTAAAAACCAACCAACCCCACCAAATAACCAACTAACCAATAAATTAACACCCTCCAAAAAACCACGCTAACCAACCCGTCAAATAACTAAACCAATCCAAACAAAAAGAGTGAAACCAATGCAATAAGATCGCGCTATAAGCAAAAAAATATAAAAAAGTTTTGGTTGGCGTGAGATTTGAACCACGGACCATTCGTTCACGAAGCGATAGCCTCAGTCACGGAGCCACAGGTGCTCTTGCAAAATGCTTATTATTTTGTATAATATTGCTGAATGTATTAGTTATATTTTTTTGTGTTATGTTTTTATAGGCATTTGCATCTTTAATTGAAAATGTACTTACGTTCTATACTTGCGTTCATGTTTGTGTTCATGTTAATTTTTTCATGACTGATTACTTAATAATTTGATATTATTATCATTAAAAATCTCAATTTTTCATCCATTTTACTTTGAAAAGCCATCCCTTGCTTTCTGATTGATGAACTGCACCGCCAGTGAACAAAAATTAGTTACTACCGAAAGTACCGAAAAAAACGGGAAATCCCGGTTCCGAAAAACAGCTCCGATTTCGGAAACCCTAATCTACACTAGTTTACGATATTCTCCGATGGTGGCAGCACCGGCGGAGAATGCGCCAAACCTATATGCAATATATAAAATACAACCCTTGATGTTTTTCTCAAGTAAAAATTTAACTTCCGGCCTATGCAGAGATAGACAGACTTAGGAATGTATGTGTATAACACACACACAAGCCCATTCATCATCTGCTTCCGTTTTGAGGCGCATACAGTGTGTTCGCTGGGTGACAAATCGGAACAAGCCCGCTTCTTTTTAACGATGTTATCGTCATCGTCATTGCCTCTTCCATTTTTGATCAAGTCGACTGAGGATGTGACTCACTAGAATGCCGAAACACACGTGCCCATGTAAATAAGTGCTTATTGTTTCGTGTTCTTTTCGAGGCGTTAATATATTGTTCTAAATCTTTATTTTATATTCAATCGGTCCCTTTATTTTTTATTTTTGTTCGTCAAAAGTTATTATCGGGTGACGAAGGAGAATACTAATGAAGAAGGATTTAAAACAAAAGGACATAAAGTGGAAGTAATTACAATACATTAAAAGATATTCTTTTTTTTAATTTATAAAAGTAAGTTAACAAAAATAATATAAATATATTTATTACAGCATATTTAATAAACCAATATCTAATATTTTTGCATAGTTTTACAAAATAAGGCAATTATTAAAAATTAATAAATAAGTTGATTCACTTTTACAAAATTTGTATTAAAAGACCCTCTGTCCGTTTGAGGACTCCATTCGGGTACCTCTATCTACGTGCCGAGTTTGGTTCCAATTTGGTTCCAATCGACCCATAATTAAGAGAAAAATCCTGATGATTTCGTCCATTTATAGGCATCGGTTCGAAACGTCGATAGCGTCATCCTGTAGCCCGTCCCCAATTATGCCGAAATCGACCCACATTTTTCTTCAATATCAAATCCTTAGTCCCACCCTGATGAAGATGTAAACGAAACGTCGTATCCAAATTTGCAGGGTGGGACCGTGTGCACCGTCGCTCACATAGCCTACACACCAAATTTGGTCGCGATCGTACGACATCAACTTCTGACGTTTCTTACGTCAAAACTAACCGTCATAGTGACACGTGTCAGGTTCGAGTTGGCCTTGGTCCAATCTATCGACATACCAAATTTCATTTAAATCGGGCAATTTTTTCGTCAAAATATCATGAAAACATTCCATTCTCAACTTCCTCATTGGCTTACCACTTTTTCGATCGTTACCACTTTTTGTGACGGGTGTCATGACGCTAGCTCGTGTGTCACCGCCTTGAATTTTTACTCCCATCGCGCGTAAAGAAGTTTCATTTCAAAAATACTTTTTTTATGTCTATAAATAACTGAAATATTTTGGGATTCACCAACTTTTCATCAACATAATAATATTAAGCTATTAAGTAACATTTCGTGTATATAATCAGTGGACTATTCGTGTACAGTATAAATAGTTTTTCCAATTATTTTCATTAATTTATTAGTGGAGCGAATGTATCGCTCTGCGATATGACACGAACGGAATGTACAGAGGTCCAAATATGACGGAGACTCGATAACAACAAACAAAAGCTGCTGTACATATAAAAATATGCTAATAAGTCGACTTAAAATCATGCTAATTTGTTAATTATATTAACAAATGGTGCGGAGTTCGTTTACATCTGAAATTCTCGACACCTTGACAAAACAGAATTCATATTTTTGCGTTTCAAAAATGAAAAAAATTAATTCAATGAAAGGTAGGTGGTCAATTTTTTTATTAAAAAAGTTTTCTTCTATTTGAGATCTGTCGATCAGTTTTAAGGTTGTCCCTGTATGAGTTCTTTGAGGTGGGCTGTCAACTGTTTTTTCACCTTTTTGGAGGTCTTCCAGGCTATCTCTTTTTTTCCATAACAAGGGGCCGTCCTTTGCCGGAAACACTGCGACCTGTGAGGCCTATTGTGTTTGTCCCCTTTCTATATCTGCACCCATTCTCCTATCCCTGTACCCTGCACTAACTTATGCAGGTGCTTGATAGGATAGGAGCATAGTTCCTCCGGTTCTAGCCTAGCTTTCCCAAATAAAGTGTCGCTTGCATCCAGAGCCTCGCAATGACATAATGTGCTCCGCTGTTTCAGGAGCTTTATCGCAGAGTCCTCAGCAAAGACTTCCTTGATTGATACTGACTGATACTCAATACTGACATGTAAAACGTTATGTATAGATGGGGCTTAATGCTAATAAAGTTTTACGTGCCATTTATCATTGACCTAGGGTTTTTCGATTTTAATCGCTACCAGGACATCAGAAGGCGAAAATAATAAAGTAGTTAATCGGAAAAACAAAAATAACCGCTCGGGCATGCGAGGCACGAGCGCTATTTCAATGTCTTTCGGTTCACAAACAAACGGGCGAGATAATCATACGAATTAGGGTAATAACGCTTCGGAATACTAGGAAAAGCTGAATATTACGGAAATTGAACATCGATTAGGTCTAGTGACGTAGGTTTTTGCGGCTTGTGCCCAAGCAACATCACGTAGTTACTTACCAGTAGAAAATTAAGTCATTTGGCGAAAGATCCTGTGGCCTTTTCCTACTGTAACCACAATAGACGGGAGTCCATGTTTTTATT